ACACCCCACTTTCTCAGGCTCCCTCTGTTGCTTAGGAACCCTCGGTACAGTGCCACTATGTATCTGATGACCACCACCCCTTTGCCCAGTGAAGCTGACGGTAATTCCCCATCACTACGAGGGTCAGAATAAGACATTAGAACTATAGACCCATGTGTAGGGTGTCAGCTCCTGGAATTAGGTGATCACATGAGAATCTTAGCTTTCATTTTGAAAAATGAAACCTAACCTCTACCCCTCATGGTTGTGAAGAAAAGCTTGAAAAGGTGACCCAAATGTAACTGATGCATGGTTCTAGATAGCATGAAACAACAGCACTGAGAGAGATGAACAGGACCATCTTTGGGTAAGTTAACTCCATGACCCACTGCAGCAGGAGGTTCCACCAACACCACCCCAGCCCAGGACTTTGTGCAGCAGGAGGACAGTGTAGCAGGACAGCCTACCCATGCAGATACTTACACCACAGCTGCTGGGGTATTTGGAAGCTACTCTCCTGTTACCCCATTTCTCCAAGGGAGAGAGGAGGCCCCATCGTGCTATCTCTGCCTTTCTGGGAGGTTGTGGGCATTCCAAGTGGAGGTGGAGCCATGGGGGCATTTCATGGTGTGAAAGACCCTTCTGGATTGCCTTAATCTGGCCCTGACCACCACCCCAGGCTTTTCCAAATAAACACTGAGAAATGAAGTGTTCAGTCTCCTACAGTGTCCCAGAGACTATGTTTGGAGGGGGCAGTTCATAACCTATCTTATTACAGTGGACTTCAGAAAAATCACAAGTGGGAAACCAAATACCATTCCAAGAACAGACACTTTATTAACCCTGGGTTCACAACTTGCACTGAGGAAAGTGTTTGGAACCCCTCTGTAGGCCTAGCTGTTTTCCTCATCTGCTCAGATAGTTTAAATTCCCATCCACATGTGTCATTGATGAGGAAGCTGCAAAATTCCTTGCCCAAGTAGTAGGTTGCACTCAGTTGTCATTAAAGGAGCAACTTCCATGATATGAGCAAAAGGTAATGTATGTCCATTGGCACCTCAGTGTAAGTGTCCCCAGAGAGATGTAGAAACACCATCCTGGGAACTGACTAAGAAGGACAGGTGCAATCCAGAGGGACCACTTGCTAGGACATTCTGTGTGACTGTTGACAGCAGCTGCTTTGGAATCATTAGTGGCTGTGCACAGTTGCTATTCAATCTCTGCTATTTGTATCATGTGAACAATTCGGAACAGCATTAAGAGCATGAGCAGTGTTATCAGATTATGTAAGTGTATCCACATTTTCCTGTTTTAAAATCACACTGCTTATCAAATCAGATAAATGACTTGCTAAGGACTCAACTGTCATAGTCTAGATGGGTTGGTGTAAGCAGGCATTTCGCAGTCATTTTCCCTCCCCCTTTCCCTCCCCTCATGTGAGGTCTGCATTTGGGTTGTGAGTACAGAGTTGGCAGTGAGAATGATTTGATGAGAGGCACCTGGAGACTGAAGTGCTGTGAAAAGTAACTCTGCATAAAGCCTTCCCCCAGAGCCACGATGGAAGACAAGTAAAGAAAATTCACACAATCCAGACCATCGGAATTAAAAAACTTCTTGACTTAATTAAAATAAGTATGTTTAAGTATAGCGATCAAAGATCCTGTCCAGTAATTCAGGCCCATAAAGCCCACTTTTGTAAATACAGCAAAAACAACTAATATCCCTAAAAGCTAGTTTCAGGCCTATGCACAGCTTCACAGACCATACAAGTGATGCTGGTGCAATGTCAGAGATAAATTGGATCCCTATTTCTTTCTGCTTATGTAAATACCTTGGGGCAGGTTCTGCACTTTGTTTGCTGCACTTAGTATAGTGGGGCCTTGATCCTGGCTGAAGTCTCTTGATACTATTGTAATACAAACAATAAATAACAATTAGAAATATGGGGCAGGGGAATGGTTGCCTACTAAATAAAAAAGGATTTTCTTCTGAGAGGCCAAAAAACCTTAAAACAAATCCCAACCCCTTGTCCCCTACAACCCAGCACCATTTAATGGTTGGACTCCGAGTAACCAAAACAAAGAAATTCAGTCTTCCCTTGAGGGCCTGACTTGCAATTAGCTCAGCTAAACTCATTTAAAAATCAGTTAGGGGCATAGGCTGAGATTTTTTTAAAGCTCTCTAGGATGCCCAATTCCCATTAATTTCAATAGGAGATTTGGACATCCAATTCCCATGTGGTTCTGAAAATCTGTTAGTGTAGACCCAGTTTTAGGTAGGGTGATCAGATGTCCCGATTTTATAGGGACAGTCCCGATTTTTGGGTCTTTTTCTTATATAGGCTCCTATTACCCCTGACCCCCGTCCCGATTTTTCACACTTGCTGTCTGGTCACCCTAGTTTTAGGAGGGGCGGTTTAAGGCAGCATCATGTTTTTACTGAACCTAGGGGTCTCAAAGCCAATTCAGTATAAAAAGGTCTACACAACAATTCTAACCAGCTTTGAGATCTGGGTAGCTGAATCAGGTGGTTTTTTTATTTATTTATTTTATTGGTTTTTCATAAGGAAACAGATAATGGAAAAACACAAAACTGTAAATAACCTACAGCTTGTCTAGGTTTCCAAATACCACATGATTCACAGGGTTGCTAATAGAATTACAAAGTTTGGTCTTGCAGCTTTGACAAGTTGTAAGACAACACTACACAGACATGTTAGGGTGGGGGTAATAGTAATAAAATAGGCATACATGAATAAGGAGGGGAAAAGAGGCAGGGTTAGGTGGAATGTAGGTCTAGTATTCTTTGAGTGATCTCTTCTTTTTTATCCAAATGTATCTAGAACTAGTTTTAAACCACTTAGAAAATGTCCCCAAGGTAGGCAGGCCCTAAGTGACATCTAAGTATTGCTTCAATTTGAGAGTGCTAAATCGTGTAAGTTTAAACCAGTATCCATACACAAAATTGTGCTTATTTAGAGTTAAGGTTGTTAGTTCTTTGCTTTTTACATTAGGTATGATGTCCAAGCAGTTACATCATTTAAAACTCCATCTGCACTCCATTCATTTGTTCCCCTTCTAAACCTCCACCACACCTCCCTTGCAACCACAGCCCACCCTCATCATAAACAGACATGCAGCCTTAACTCTGACCATGTGTATTGGTTAGACATTACTGTGTTCTGTACTCTTCTATACAGCGATGTTGTGGTGTCAGATTGCAAACAGCGGTTGCCAGTGGTTTTCCTGTAATGTTTAGGAAAACTTATGTGAACGGGTGATCTATGTATGTTGTAAATTTGGTAGATGTAGAAATTACAGGTTCTGGAGTACACATTGGTAATTATAATTGGGATTAAGGCTATTTTATTGGTTCAAGATGAAGGAACTGTGATATGGGGTAGGGGAGACCTGATTGGGGGGGAGGGATGAGGTAGTATGGAGGAATATGAGGAAAATTGGAGGGGGCATGGCAGCTGTGCTAGCAATTTGGAAATGGCACACATTTATGGGGGGGAATTATGGATTACAAGGAGAATTTATGCTAGCAGAGGGGAGGTACTTTTCTGATGTGTACATGCAAAGGTAACACTTACCCCTTGCTTATGGTGGGTATTGAATAGAGACAATTCCACTAGGAAATCCCATTAGGGAGCCTAAAAGTTCTATAAATAAAGTCACTAATGCAAAGTTTACTTTGATACCTTATTGGCATTAAGGCAACCTTAAGGGTAAAATAGAATCAAACCTGCAAGAGATTCTCCCTAGAGAGGCACGGCCTAGAAAACCACTGCTCATTTAGAGCTCCTTCCTTGGAAGCAATGGTTACAGTAGTGAAGTAGTAACAATTACCAGCAGTTACTTTTTATTCAGCCTAATTAGGGATGCCTTCATGGCTTTAGGGTCATTATTTTGATCAATTTGATAATAATTATTGAATCACTGCAATGCCTTAAATTCACTATTATCAATATGCATTCTGCTAATGATGCCAAATTCCATGTTCACATAATGTATTGTTAGGTTCAATATAAATGGAACATGCATTTTCTCACAAAATAATCAGTCTCCTGGATATGGAAATGGCCACTAACCAAGCTGAAAAAGCACTTAGAAGACCATGCTTTAAAAAATAAACTGTTCATGAACTCTTCAGTAACAGAATACAACACCGAGAAGAGTTGAGGATTAGAGGTTTGTACAGCATGATGAGTTTCATTGCAACAGTTGTCAGTTAACTCGACTTACTCCACTTGAACTAGCCTCGCTGGAGTGAATGATCAGACTGCAAAACAACACTTAGCCTACATAGTAATGCAATGGGGATGCACAGTCACTCTATCTAGTGTCAGCAGACTTGAGTTTCAATCTCCCCTCTTCCACAGGCCAGATAGCTGGATCTTAAATCTCTTGAACTAGAGATTTGTGTGTGGATGGGAAATGGGTTGCTACAAAACTTGATTTATAGCTCAAGCTAACAATGCAGTGAAGACAAGCCCATATATATGCTAAATATTAGACACATTATATATGTTGACTTGTTACAAATAAAAACACGGTATGAAAAGTTTTACATGAATTTAACTGTTATTCATCCTCTAAAAGCTGACTGGTTACAGATATCTGACATCTCTTTATCTATTGTTTTAGGTGGCTGAGATAGGATCAGCTCCAACAGGAGATACCAAAGAAACTGAATTCAGAACTTGGCAAGTAAGTGAATGAAAACTACTTTTAAAATTATACGGTTTTGAAATGTAAGTGTATTAGTAATTTAAGACTGTTTAAATCGGGGTGGTCAACTTGTGAATCTGGAGCCACATGCGGTTCCTTATATAGGCACCGACTCCAGGGCTGGAGCTACAGGCACCAACTTTCCAATGTGCCGGGGGTGCTCACTGCTCAACCCCTGGCTCTGCCACAGGCCCCGCCCCCACTCCACCCATTCCCGCCCCCTCCCCTGCGCTTGCTCCTCCCCCCTTCCGACTAGAGCCTCCCGCACGCCACAGAACAGCTGATCGGGAGGTGCGGGGAGAGAGGGGGAGGCACTGATTGGCGGGGCTGCTGGTGGGTGGGAGGCGCTGGGAGCAGAAGCTGCTGATGTATTACTGTGGCTCTTTGGCAATGTACATTGGTAAATTCTGGCTCCTTCTCAGGCTCAGGTTGGCCACCCCGGGTTTAAATATTTATAAAAGTAACCATTATTTGTTTTTAGGAAGCACCTTTCATATGATTATTAATTGCTTTACAAACACTACTTAAGCCCCATAACAAAAATATGCAAGCATTATTCCTACTTAAAGATGGGGAAACCGAGGCATAGGGAGGCTAAATGACTTGCCTGTGTGCACACAGCACATCCATGGCACAACCAAGAATGGACCACAGAATTCTGGCTCCCTGTTTACTGCTTTAGCCTCTACAAGTTTGTAGTGGGAAGTCAATCCCTACAAGTCTTTTCAACTCATTTTGTCTTTAAAATGGAAATAATTCCATTTCAGGGGGAGTTGCCAGCAGGATAGGGGTTAAGAAACTAAAAAAAACAAAAACAAAAAAACTTCATAAGCAGATAATACTGGTAACAGAGTATTTATCTTCTGTTGCTGGAATTAACTAACTCTTTAAGAATATGCCATAGCAGAGAAGCAAGTGTGACCAGTTTTGTTGGTCTGTAAAGTATTTCTCTGTCAGTTGTCAAAATACTGGATAAACAAGAAGTATGATCAGAGACGTCCCTAAGATGTGGTTCTAGGACTTGTTTCCAATTCCATACTACATGGCTTCTCTTCTTATCAGTCACTTCTTTAATAAAAAGTTCACTTGGCTTCCGTGGGGTTATCCAGTATACTCCAGAACAGGACATGACCTTGCACCTGTGCTACTTTCTTTTTCCTTGATGCACTACTGCATGGCTAGGGTGTTCTTTTTGTAACCCTGAGCTATAGCCATCAGAGAGTCACACTGGTAAAACGGTCTCCAAGAATATGTTTCAGGTTTGCTTCCTTAAGAAGTTAATCTGATTTTTGGATCAAGTATCAACTACCCGAGTTTGTCTAAATGGATTACACTTCTAACTTCTTGGCAGCAGGGGTTACATATTCTGTATTCAAAGCAATAGATACAGCAAAACCAGGCACTGTAAAATCCAGAGTGAAAGGACCTCCCCCACAACTAATTTAACAAGAACTAAATGTTGTCTCAGGTCTTAACTATGTGAGTAAATTGGTATACCAAGTCTGAATAAAATAAACTTAATTCCAGTGAACCTTAATTTCTCCTTCAGAGGTGTTAAATCATCTAACATGAATTGTGCAGTGCGACTTACAGTGTTAGGGAAATGTAATCAGGATTCATGAATACTGTTACGAACCAGGACTTCGTTTTCACTTTACATTTTAGTTCTGGTTAAATTAATGTTGTGATTCTGTCATGCTTAACTGAAAGGCCTTCTGCAGCAAAATTCGGAAAACTTGTCATTTTTCATTGTAAGCATTGCTAGGCTATTGGAATGTGAATTGCTCTTGACAATTCTTGATTAACTGGTCCTATGCAGAGCATAGGCATTACCTTCTGAAGACCCAAAGCCTAAGTCTGATCTTGCGACACCAGCGTTAATCAGGTCTTCACTCAGTGGAAGTCATTGGAGTTCTGCTAGTGAGATCCACCAACAGGATCTTGAACTATAGCGTGTCATTAGATAATAGTTCTAGGGAGTTCTTTGCATGATCTCACAAACCCTCAACCACAAAACAAACTAATCCATTTCCTACTATTGGTTCTGGTGGATTATAATGCGGGCAAGTATTTGGGAGTACAATCTTGCATTCTCAAGAAGTTGTACAGGGGCCCCCCTCCCCATATGAACTAGATCACCGAAAGGAAGGAAACATTTGGCCTGGAATATCAGATTCTTCTTCCGTTTTGGAGCACAGAGTATATTGTCCTATATGGTCACAGACACTGCTATGCTATTAGAGGGAAGCCAGATTTCTACTATTCTCTAAGAAGGTGATTTGCTAGAGCTCAGACCCTTTCTGGAGGAAGAAGCAGCATGTGTAAAGACCTAAATCTGCTTATTTTCTGTTTTTTCTCTAGATAACCTAACTGGATAATAAAACTGTAGTCCCAATCCTACAAACCTTTTACATGTGGAACTCTCACTGATGTCTATGGAAGTTCTGCCTGTGGAGAGCTTACAGAATCAGGCCATAATGTGGTATCCTTTCCTTTGATTTGATTCAGATTAAAAGTTGATGTAAATGACAGTTAAGAGCGAGGATGTAGTCTCAATTCACAGTAGCACGAGGGAAAATTTACATACACAGAGAGTAAAACATCTTGAAAACAACAGCTGCCACCATAAATTCACACAATTAAACTTTAATGATATGTGGGCACCTCCATCAATGAAACATGCCACACAATGTTGTTTTTGCAAAATATTTATTAAAAAACTAAAGTAAATATGGCAACAAAAACTTAAATAGCAAATGACATGACACTGGCCATAAAGCTTTCACTATATTATTCTAATCAGTCTCTGACAATATCAATAATCAAGTATGTCTCCAGGGGAAGCCATATGTAAACAACCTGAATGCACCGCTATATGATCAACTTCTAGCTGTTTGAGAACTATTAGATATGCGCCTCTTGCTTTATTAGCACCTGATCCAGGGCCCTTGTAAAATGTTCCAGACATACTCAACTTTAAACAAAGTGAATGGGAGCAGAAGATGCTCAACGTTTTGCAGGATCAGGCCTGGTTCATTTTTAAAGAAACAGCAAATGAGCCAATATAACTGTTTTTTTTTCTTTTCTTTCCTTTCCTTTTTTTTTTTTAAATAAAGAAGAGGGAATCAGAGCAGCAAGGGAACCTATAGCAAAGTACCTTTTGTTCCTCTCTGAGTCACAATAACTTCTCATGGGTACCACACTTGAAGCTATTTGTTTATTCTCTTTTTAAAAGCCAAACAGGGGAGTAAGTCAAGAAGTGCCTGTTTTCCCCTTGGATAACTCCTCTTAAGGGAAGCTTTGGGTGCACTTCAAAGAGAAAAATAGACCCTTAAGTCTATTAAAGACATATGTCTAATGGAAGCTCTGTTGTTTTTAAAAAGTGGTAAAAAATCTTCAAAAAGCATCCAAGAATTCTAAAAAAACCCTTTTCCTGTTCAGATTATTGACAGGACACTCGCTCATCTTGTCTGGTTAGCCAGGACTTAAAACCACAGAGAAAGTTGTTACAAAATGTTGGCTAAATTAGGAATCCTAAGAGATATATATGAAGACATAGTTGAAGATCATTTTAAAAAACCCTTAAGAATGTAAAGCACTATGCCCAGACAACCCTCGGTTTCACTTACGACACGGATATAATCACGGACAACACGTAGAAATAGTCACATTGATGCCAAGATTTCCATTGTCTGCAAAAAGATGTGCTATAGCTGTATCGAAAACTAGACAGTCGCTGTTCATGATGGCAGCAGCCACCCCATCGTGAATAGAGCGGGGCGTTGCCTCCCAGGTCAGCCTGCGCCGGTTACCATTCAGCTCTAGTCGGTATGCAAAGTTCTCTGCTTGTTTGCGAGTGCCAATGAGCAACACAATAGCAAAAAACTGCTGGTGACCCTCGTACTTCTCCTGTTTCTCCAACACCAGCATGAAATGGTGACCAAAGCAAGACTGCATCATGACCCAGTCGACAGCTCCTGGCAGGTTAATGTCCGTGGCGAGAAAGACTATGTCTTCTCCCTGAAGGGTGGTAATGCTTTTGTGGGCGTGCATGAGGTGGGACATCACGGCTTCCAAAGAACCCTGCCATTTACAGGAGGCGCCAGGACATGGACAGGAGTAGGGACGGTATTCACAGATGTCTTCATGCTCTGGCTTTTCCGTATGGTGGAGTGTCAGGGAACAGCCTGTAGTGGCGTACTGGAAGGAGACAAAACACAGGCCATCAAGATATACATCCAGAGTTAATGTTCTAAAGCTCCCAGCTGTGAACTGCAAAATGCAGAATCAGTAAGAGCCCTCATTTCATTCTAAATTTTACATTATATATTTTTAAGTGCTCTGGATTCAGAGCTGAGCTTTATTTTACTCCCAAATCGATTCCTGCTTCATATGCTTTTCAATGGGAATTGCAAGCCCTTAGATAAACACCAATATTCTATTAGAACACACTCTTAGGAAGTGCAGCATTACTAGAATTTGTGTCCCATTCAATGAAAGATTTTATTTTAATTTAAATGTTTGCAGTCTCACTCAGCCACTGCATGAGAATCAAAGAGAGTGAAACTGACTATTTTCACCATACAAGTAAGGCGAAAGCCTAATAAGTGAGATTTTTGTTTAAAACTCTCTGTTTTAATAGTCCCTGAGCCACACAGGTAAGGACATGTATTTATTTGTTTTAAACCAGAAAGTGCACCTTTACATTCTTATAGCAAATTCAACATTCTTTAAACAAAGCACATATTTCTTCACCCTTACACAGCAACAGTCCCTTAATGGGAAAGCTTTTCCCTTTCAGCCAAGAACCTGAATATCACCGTTGTCACAGCTGTGAGACAAGCCAGAGCACTTTCTACACTGACAGCTATAAGCCCTCCACAATATGTATATCTATAATTCAAAAGAAAATGGATTAAGCAAGAGTTTTCACTCTCCACCTGGCTAATTAATATGTCTCAGACGGGAGCATAACAGGGGAGGCAAACTTCCTTTCTCAACCTCATCCATAATCTTTTTCATGCACTGATTTATTTACAGTCATTTTATTCCCAGTCTCTATTTAGGGACCAGCCCAAAAACAACCACTACCAAATAAGCTGAGTCATTTTGCTGGGATACACAATGTTATATATTAAGTTTATATGCAACACAGGAAATGTCAGGTGACAGTTTTCATAGCAACCAGTACTTGGCCCTTGTGTAAGGGCCTCATGAAAAGTGCAACTTGGAGTTTCCTGACTTTGTATCATCAAGTGTTTCCACTGATGTGCCGTGTGGTGGTTTGTGTGTGTGTGTGGAGGGGGAATGGTTACACTTTCTTCAGAAGGAAGAGAAAAATATACTTGGCTGTGCAATCAGAACTCTAGAAATCATACATTCAAAGACACATGGTAAGAGGAACTTCACATAAGGAATAGAAATAGCTGATCAGGGAAGATTCACAATGAACAAGGTTAATGCTGACCTGCAAAAATTTGTTTTGTTTTTTAAATTGGGTTTACACCCTTTGTTTATACATTATACAAAGAAGGCCCCAAAGGGTATTTTTATTTATTAGCAGTATCAGGAATGTCAAGATTTGATGGAGGACCTTAGATGTTTATTACAAGATCTTACATGCTAACAGGACAGGTGAGTTGAATCTTTAACACAATACCCTTTATCCAAAATGTTTCCTAATCATTGGAGTTAAGAGGTGATACCAAAATGAAGCACAAAAAAACCCAAACTAAAACAAAAAAACATGGTCTCTTTCCCAAGGAATGGGACCTAGGACTAAGCTACCAGCTTTAGGTGTAAGAATGGCAAACTCAGTCATCTAGAAGCTGAATTAAATACCAAATACAAAAATACCAACAAGTCTGGAGAGAGTTTCTGGTGATATAAACAAGTAAAAAAGGGGTTGTTTCTTAATAATTATCTGACCAATTTTTAAAAAATCAAGGTTAAATGCAATTTTCCCAAATGTTTATTTTTTAAACAGCTATTTCTCAGTCAGAACAAGCAAAAGGAATTTCAGTTCCGAGGGTTAAATGCCTGAGAAACAAGGGCTTAGATTCAATGTCATCTCAGTTATTATACCTATCATGCTGCTAACATGTATAATGGAAGAACACCAGAGCACAGACTTCTGTTTCAGATGTCACTAAAGAGTTAATGAAGCTCTGCATTTACTGTATCCGCCCCTCCCCCCACTGTTTAATCCTCTGCTAAGAGATTTGTTTAGGTGTGCCCAGTGAGCAGACAAGCCATGAGTTCTGCACCACCACAGTGACAGCAGAAAGAAGGGGTCCTTGCGTCAAAGGGCACAGCCACAATTGAGGCCAAATGCTGCAATTTGTCAGGATTGCTGCACTGCTGTTTGCACACGCATGCATACAACAGCAGATTGTTCCAGACACACAGTGATAGGTGCAGGCAGACATGAAACAAGTCAGTCTTTAGCCTAAGCATTCTTCCCAGGAAAAGATTTTAACCTGATTGCAGCTCATGGTGCAAATAAGTCTTTATGATAGTGACACACTTGTTTGGAAGTTAAAACAAAACAGAATGCAAGAGAGAACTAAAGTTCAGTTATATTTGTGCTCATGGCACAGAAAAGGCAGTATTTTAGAGAAAGACCAGTGAAGGGGCAGTGGTTTTGTTAGAAGAACCATCGCTGTAAGTACTTTACATTTCTTTTAAAAAACATAGCCTATTACTTACCATGTTTTTTAAAAACCAACTTTGAACAGCCCCCAACCACTGTGCTTTGTTACTGGAAAGCTGCTCTCGTGGCATAACACTCTTACTTGTCATTTAAGGACAGTCCCCCAAAGGGTTAAATAGGAGTTTCCTGATGAATGTTGGTATTTGAAAAGTGTGAGCTCTGGTGATGTGGATAAGCCTTGCCCAAAATTATATGGTATGTGAGAGTGCTGCTTTAGCTTCTGACCTCATCCCTGCCACGTGAAGCATTCAGTTAAATATAGATTTCGATGCCCAACCCACAATGATATTTTTCTCACCGTAGGTGAGTAAAGCCTGTTAAATAGGGTGTCACAGCCCTGAATCCCAAAAGTCTCTTGTATACTCCAGTACCTTCCATTTGTTAGCAGGCTTCTTAGGTTAGAAGCATTTAGCTCTACAGCACCCTTGGCAAACCTCCGCTTCTCTAGCAAAGCTGCATTTTCTGCTACTGTTAAACTAGGCAGCCGCCAAACAATTTTATTTAAAACCGAGCGAGTAACTTCATTCAGAACGATCAACGTTGATTCAGCCCAGTGCAAACAATGCAGAGGGGCGCCACTACAGGAGGGAGGTCTACACATTAAAAAACAAAACATGAGAACAATAAAATATCAGAAGGGTAAATACTAGGAAAATAAACATCCTTCAGGAAAAGATAAAGAATGAAAGCGGAATTGGAACTATTAATAAAAATGTCAAAACATCATCTACTTCTTTCACAGCCTTGTGACCTGCAAGCCTTAAAAGAACCTGTTGTGCCTTACAATTAGAAAGTATAATCTGATGTTAGACTCTTGGGCAAATGTAATAAGTAATTCAAATCAGAATCATAAAGTGTAAGGGCAGAAGAGACCACCAAGTCATCTATATCATAGGCCACCAACACCACCCCATACTCCCACACTACCTCAACAACTGAAATTAGACCTAAGTATTACAGCCTACAGGACACTAAAGTACTATGCACCACAGTGAGAAAATAGAAGGGACTGACATGCACTACTGCCTGAGACGCCTACAATGGCAGTAAAATGATTGAGATAATCCTGGCAAGTGCCCCATACCCACATGCTGCAGAGGAAGGCAAACCTCCCCATCCCCATCACTGCCAATCTGACCTGGTGGAAATTCCTGTCTGACCTCACCCACATATGCCTATCAGTTAGACCCTGAGCATGTGAGCAAGAACCAGCCAACCATACACGTGAGAGTGAGAGAATGCTTGTTTTACCTTTCTAGTTTTGAAAGATTTAAAATAAGGTTTGAAGTCATGGGACACAGAATCAGTGCTAGATCACCGGGTAGAGAGTAAATAATATACATCACATAAATATGAAATGCCAAACAGCTGGCATATTTACCTGACTAGGAAAGCTGTCATTCTACCTCCCTATGTGATGTGTTATTTGGGTATGGACAATTAAAATTAAGGGTCGCATATTTGTCTACCAATGAAAGATTATTTTTTCTATGTATGTTAACAGTCAGACTTAGTTTGCCTTGTTTATGTAAACTTCTGATAAAGTTGCGAGGTAACCATGAAGCACAGAGGGAAATTCAAATTTTTTCTCCAGTCAAAAGTTAATTACACAATACTGTGAGTTTATCAGGTTTTATTGTAATGAGTACACTTGTCTTTAGAGGGCTTAGAAACATCTGATTATCTGGTGGTAGAGTTAGCTGGAAGGCAACATCTGCAACTGGCATATTTCTTGAAACAACATCTCTATGTCTAATGGACTTGTGGTCTAAATTCATAAAGTGCCAAGCACCACCATTCCCAGTGATGTTGGGAAATGTGGGTTTAAAATCCCTGAAAAAAAAAAAATCAAGCCACTTATATTCCAGGAGTCTCAGGGAAGTATGCAATAATGAAAAATACAGAAATCTATTTCCTTCCTAATTTGCAAAATGTATTCTTAAATCAAATTACTCACATCGCTAAGAACCCATTCATGTGGCAATGGGGGGGAAATCCTAAAATGTTTTCAAATATATATTCGTATTAAATGTAACTGGGCCCATTCCATGTAGTTGCCCATTAGCAAGTTTGCTACAAATGTATACAAGACATTCCCTCCAGTGGAGTCCTCAAAGCTAATATAAGGGGACTAAGTTTGTGGCTGTATAAATCTGAAGCAAATTCTATCATAAACTAAAACACAAGCAGGGAGTAGCGTGAGTTTTAACACTATCAGGAGTGCAGGGTTGTGTCATTTCTGTGGCCACAGCAATGATCACTCAGGCATGAATGAATGGTTCTGTTTGGGAAGTACTATGAAAGGTAATGCTCAAATATTGTAGAAGACACAAATATTGGTTGATGTGTAATTATATGAAGTCACTGTGGTTTTATAGCTCAAAGTAAACAGCAGCATTTAAAACTCTAATTATTTCACTGCAAATTTTTGAATAAAGAGTTCATCTAAAAAAGCACATTGCACTGCTCAGTTAGCTAGGCCACATTGCCAAGTTTCAGCTTCCTAAGCAACTGAACTACTGCAATCTCACACAAGTACTGTGTAATTAATTAGATTTTAATAGCCATTCACACAGCTGTGAGTTCACAAGGTTTATTTTCTCCAGTCTACAGCATCATTACAAAGTCACCTGAGACCACAAGAGAAGCTAACTCCATATAAAAAAAAGCCTCGCTGACTAACCAGCACTTTTCTCCAACTAACCATTTCAATTCCATATTTATTTAAAAGAGGAAAGATAGCAAGAGGATATTTTAGTATGTCTTTAACGAGGATTTTGAGTCAGAGGATGATGTGCTTTTCAAGTTGTGAAAAGCGTGCCTAGAGCATTCCATAAGTATTTTAAAATTTCAATGACTTAACACTAAGTCCTGTAAGACTTACTTCTTTCATAATGTCCATAAGAAGCAAGTAGATAATTATATAATGTTATATATATTTTCAAAAAGCCTTTGTAACCCATCCGGATGGGCACATAACTAAGGCCATAACTAAGAAACCACATGACCCTATTCCTATAAACCTTGCTGTTTTCTCTATTGTACACTTTGGGGCACTGCAAAAACAATAAATAGATGCTTTCTAAGCATGGAAGACAAATGCCAGTGGAAAATACTCCGGTTAATTTCACTTTGTTGCTGTTTGGGAGACCTATGTGCAGCAGCACAGAAATTACTCATGGTAAAGAAAGAAACCCCCTCTCCCACATAAAAAAGAGAGGTTGAGAGAGGAGTCGAAAGTAAGAGAGATTCTTACTATTTCCACCCCTTTTCTATCAGTGAGAGGCAGAAAGCTCCTTCTATTTTCCAACAGCTAGTAGGAAGTAGGATTTCCAATTTAGCAGATTCCTACCAGCCAGAGGCTGGGACGAAGGATGGAGCTCCTACGCAAAGAGCAGAAACATCAGCCTGGGAAAATCCCAGCACTCTCCCCATTATCCAACAGTTAGGGAAGATAGAGGAGTAGTTACTTGCTACTCCATCTTTTGTATCCACCTCTGGCATGCTCTTCAGACCCTGTACTAACTGGTGCATATATATATGGCAATGACCCAATTCTATGTTTCCTGCAGGAGATTTGGATGCATAAAGAAATGCAGAATCAGGTCCCAGCCTATTTCCCACAGGCAACTGAACTATCAGCTTTAACAGCGTTCAGTCACTCAGACTACATTTGAACTCATAAGTCAGAGATGAAAAGCTCCAAATCCCATCACCAAGTAAGTCTCTGACCTATCCAGTCCCCATGCCTTTTTTCCCCTCAATTATTTCATCTTCCAATCTAAGCTACATCCCTTCCCTTTTCCCAGTCAGTGTCAATGGTATCAGAGCAGCCCTGCAGGTCAGAACATACCAAGCAAGATAAGTTAATTGCAAAGGTAATATTGGGAAGAATTTTGGAAAAATGGTTTACTTCTGTTGCAGTCGAGGAAATGCAAAATGCAAAGTTAAGCTTTGTAATTAACTTTGTGCTATCTACACATCCATATATGTTTCAAGCAAGGATTGAACACTTTACAGAATATGTGGACTCAAATCACTATAGCTAGCATCCTTCCCAAATTTATACTGACACAGCACTTAAACTATTAGGTTGAAACTTCCTGTGAATTGAATTGCCCTTCATCTGCACTGAAGATCAACAGTGGATCTGCTGGGACTCATTGCCCAGAAATAGACCAAAGTGAAAGTCAGAGACAATTCTAGAGAAGAGGGGAAGGATATAAGTGCCCAACAGAGAGTAAGATGATTTCTGCTTGTTTCCTTCCACTCCTTATTTTATATGGTCTCTGTCTCACAATTAGTAGTAGTTTGCAGGAAAGTTTTTTTTTCAATTAAACTATTAAAGTCCATGTACTTAATGTTTCCAGTTATCCTATCCAAAGCAAGATAACTGAGCTGCAAAACGGAGTGGGGTGGGGAAGGGCATGTGTGTATATTTTCTTGCTTCTTTACGATGTTTAAAGAAGGTGCAAAAAAAAAAATCTGCTTGGTTTTATTTACATTAGTCAGTCAGGGTTTGTCTCTGCTGAGAGCTTCTGGCCAACTGGAGAACTGATAGGTTAATAACAGATATACCAAAGAGGAGAAACTTGACTCAAAGAGATGAGGTGCTTTTTATTCAGACTGTTTAAATCTTGTTAGGTTTTATTGGTTACACCTTTTTATTTAAAGAACAGGAGAGAAAAGAACTTGGTTAAAGAATCAACAAGCCCATCTTTTGTTTTATCCTGTAAAGTGAACTGGTTAAATGTATTTGCTTTGCTAAAAATATCACTATAAAATAGAGAAAATGGCTTGATTAAAGGAAAGCCTGAGTAGAGGGAGCTGTTTTCATCAAGATTTGTAATTGCTTATCAGTATTTCCTACCACTAGCAGTGAGGCTAGGAGACATGTAAGTATTTGGGGGGGAATCATACTTTCAGTTAAGGTCTCAGAAAGCTTTCTGTGCCCATTTCCGAGTCATCCAAGATGCTCTCCAACAACAAAAGACAAGCCTTGACATTTCCAGTATTTAACACCTACATTCACGCACCCCTTTCAGGCCTCCTTTAATCATCATAAAGCAGCAATAAATAAATTAGATACAATAATAATAAAGCATAAGTCCAACCTGGCAATGGCTACTGTCAGACAGGTTTTCAACCTAGATGGGGACCTCTAGTCAGTTTCAATACAAAATGAACTGTAATATTGTGATCAGAATAGTTGCTTTGGGGGTGATGCACTGATTTCGTTAAGGGCAACTAGGAAATACTGTCATGGAAGATTAAGACAGGACACTTTAAAAAAAATGAAAACTAGGCAAGCAAGCATATCTGAAAAGAATGCATGGAATGTTTTGTTCTTTTTAGGCCAAGAATGCATCACAGCGAGGCATCTGACTCTCTGAACTTCTTCCTATATTGGATTTAAAAAGAAAAGCTGTGTTTTAGTTCTACAGTCCATGTTATTACAATCATGAGATTAATTCTCATTTGAAAACTGAACAGAGAGAAACAAACTCCTAAATTCTTAAAAACTCAATAAAACACCTAAACTCATCCCACCTTGTCCTGTGATCTAGTTCACAAGCTAAATAGGTGTCCCAACCAATGACTGACTGTCACTGAACTTGAAATGCTGCAGTGGCACTGATGATTCATTCAGGAGGTGTCATTCTTCCCTCTGAGTCAGTAATGAATCTTGTAGATTGTTATGGGGCACTATACAGCTATGGACCTGGCTTTCAGAGGTTATACAGATTAATGACCATAAATATCCCATGGCACCCTTCATCAGAGCACCGATCTTAACAAGTGTTCTGTTCAACCTGGGTCATTATGTTCGGCCTGCTTCTGTTATCAAGCATTCTCTCTCACGTCTTGTTATCAAGTTACCTTCAACAGCGAAGAGAATCAACACCATTCGGTGTCACAACCACTATTGGCTTCAGCCTTTTTTGTATTGTTGTGAGGCTTAGCTGTCTGTCAGGTACTTTGAAAGTGTAAAGGGTTAAAGGATCTCTAGCTAAACGTTTAAGAATAATTGAATTAGAATTGCATCTCCAAAACCTATATTGGAAAAGATATGTACTTCAGCACAGTTCACTAAGTTTAAAAAAAAAAAGTTTAAAAATGCAGTAAGATTTGAATATTTAATCTGCCTACATGAAAAACTGTGAAGTTCCGAATTAATCTAAAGATGTCAACTATAATTAGTGACAGGACAGCTTGTTCATCCCCTCTCCCCTTCCCGCCCCCCCCCCCCCCACTCTCTCTCAAGGACTGCAGAAAATTGGCTGAGGAGATGTGACTGATGCCCCATTCCCATGGTTAAATAGTTCTTTTAAAAACAGAATTAAGATACCTCGGAAAACACTTCTAACTTCATAACTGTAGGATGACTGTGCCAAATATTAAGAACGAGAGACACATTCTGCATCCAATTTACGGCAAACTAGAATGATAATAATCAATATTTTAAAAAAAATTCAGTGAAATTCGTTTAATGCTGGTGATGGATGACGCTCCACACTGCTGAAGCATGTAGCTGGCCTATCGAGTGTCAGGTAAGTGCTCTCTTCTTAGTACAGTGCGTGTTGTTTGCAAAGCTTTAAAAATATGAACTGGAGACTTAGCCGAGCCGTACATACACTGTACTACAAAGGGCATTTACCAGCAGTGGAGTTCCACTGTGAGAATTATGTCACCTCCTTAGTGTACACTGGGGCATTGCATGGAGCAGCAGTCAGAGACCCACAACTTCAGGAGGCCTTGAAAGAAAGAAAAGCTCACAGTAAATATTATTTAAATTGAAAACCAACAAAGCATCTACCTCTACAAACTGCCAAACAAACCTGCCATTGTTTGTTTTTGATTAATCTCAGAAAAATCCTGGAAATTCTCCCGTAACTGCAAACCATCATGTCTCTGGGTGTTGCTAGCAATGGAATTTAATGTAAATTCACTTATACTATAGTTCAATTAAGTGCTGATTATCATACCTCTTGCGCATCAATCTCCCCTTGGCAATTTAAAATCATTCTTTAAGGAAATCCAACAATAGTAATGTTTATTACAACTTTAGATTTCCAAAAAATGCAGTTGGCTGAGACAGTCACACAATCAAATACTCATGCATTCATTCTTGCTTCATTCACGGATTCATAGGGTCTGGTCTTTGCTCTCTAGCCTATGACCAGTCCCTTGGGAGTGACTCTTAAGCATACCAAATCCCCCGGGGTCACACAGTTCCACAGAGACAGGCCCTGGTCTCCAAGACTGAGTATTTGTCTCTCTCTGTCGCTCCCTTTAACAAATCTAGTCAAGCCAGACTCCTGCAGGAGGCTTGTACCCTATGGGCGGAATGGTCTCAGTGAGCATTTGCTGTGATATGGGCACCCATTTCTAAAGAAGGTAACAATTTATTAGTCACTTGACACACAGAACCTGAACGTGCTTGGGCTAGCAAAGAGAGAGAAAAGTTCTGTCAATTCTGGTCAAACAAGTGCTATGAGAAAGCCAAGCTCTAATCTAATGGATTCCATCTCAGGGTACGACTACACTTACTGGAGGGTCCGGCAGCAGGCAATCGATGTTCTGGGATCGATTTATCGAGTCTGGTTTAGACGCGATAAATCGATCCTGGAAGTGCTCGCCGTCGACGCCGGTACTCCAGCTCGGCGAGAGGAGTATGCGGCATCGACAGGGGAGCCTCCCTGCCGCGTCTGGACCCACGGTAAGTTCGGACTAAGGTACTTCGAATTCAGCTACGAATTTGCGTACCTTAGTCCGAAGTGGGGGCTTAGTGGGGACCAGGCCTCAGGCTCTCTCTCTCTTTGTTCACCCAGGTGAGAGCAGCCAGCCTCTTCCAGAAGCCAATCCTTTAACTCCTGCCTGTCCCAGATCAGTTCTTTGTTCTCAAGCTGGGGTCTCTGCTCAGCTTCCCTGCTGAGAGGTGGGGAGAAAACCACCTTCCTCTTGGTCATTGTTTCCTAGGTGTCAATGTTCCAGCCCCTGAGGCTTTCCATTGTCTCTTTTGGACTCTGCATTAATAGGGGTTGCTTTCAGCAGGTTCCAACCAGTTCCTCAACAACTCTATTCATTGCAGCCCAGACAGAGAGGTAACACCCACACCTCATGTCCTGTGTGCTGCTCCCAAGAGCTGGCTTAACTCTTTTTCCTCCTCTGGGTAGCAATGCAAAGTACACATGTGTTTCATAAAAATATTACAGAAAATCCCAACTTCCTCACAGCTTCTCTAGCTGGTTAATAGCTTTTTGGAATTGACTGGCAAGACACTGGCCAAGAGAAGGGTCTGACCTGGCCTGAAAGACTTCTCAGCACAAGGCAACTTTTATGCTGTAACAGCTAATGTTCTGGCGATATCCCCTCAATGTTCCCAACCAGGATTTAAGAATACCCTAACAGAGCGTGATCATAGAATCCACCTTAGATTTTACACTGAGACCAGTGCATAGGTGGAACAGGAATTAGTGACTTTCCACCCAGCATTGACTTAACTCCTCTAGTGAAAGAAAACATCATCAGTAACACTTATTTATGTACCTTGCTATCAAGTCCCAGGTCCTTGTCTAAAAGAGCTCTCACTTTTTTGAAGGGTGGGTGGGATACTTTAGATTGGACATATTATGCATTAGAATTTGAGCACAATGAGTAAGAATTCTAGGTAAGAATAAAATGTTTTAAAAAACAGATGATGACAGACACTAGGAAC